TGCCTCAAATCCCGAGACACAATCTGGAACCGGTTTTTTGGTGTATAAAAGAAAAGAACTCATTTGAATCAAAAAAAAGGACAAGCATAAAAATCCTATAGTTGAAGCTTTAATAAACGTCAAACGTTAGATTTATAAATGTTTCCTATTTGTTCTTTATCTTATCATTCTGTCGGATTGCGATACATATTTGATCCCAACTCATATATATATATATACTTAGTACACAATAAAATTCAAATTTACCTCATATGGGGAATACGCTTATTTTATCCGACGAGATTCGTCAGTCAACCAAATAGGCCTATATAGAGATGATGAACTCATTTTCATTCCCAATAGTAATGGCCCACTAACCGCGAAGAGACAAAAGAAAATCATTAAGGCCTTTAAATTACTAAGATTTAAGACTGAGATTTCTTCTAACCTTAAAATAGTTGATTATCTAGACATCACCCTTAACCTCAATAATAAAGATTTAAACCATGCCATAAAGACAATGAAACCCCCACCTATATTAATGTTAATTCTAACCACCCCAATGCGATTGTGAAACAGATACCTACCACTGTCGGCACTATGATTAGTCGTTTATCATCCAACATAAACATCTTTAATAAAAATAAAGAATTGTATGAAAATAATCTTCAAAAAAGTGGCTTTAAAAAAAAAATTATCTTATCTAACTTCCATAAGTAACACTGAAATATCTAAAGTGAAATGTCGACGCAGAAATAGAAATAGAAAAATTATATGGTTCAACCCCCCCCACACACACACACACCCTCTGCAAACTATCAAATATTAATATCGGACAGTATTTTCTAAAGTTAATAAATAAACATTTTCATTAAAACAACCCTCCAAGTAAGATCTTCAATAGGAAAACAATTAAAATTAGCTACTCCTGTACCAATAACATGTATAAAATTATCAATTCACATAATAACTATATTTTAAGAAATTTCTATGGAATAAACATCAAACCTGGTATTGAACCCTCCTGTCATCCACCAGCCCAGTCCACCAGGTATGTCACGCGCTGTTGTCCCTTGTCTCTCTTTCCCTCTATTCGACCCATGAGTATCAGATTCTCCAGGCCCTCCCTCCCTCCTCATCATGTGTCCCAGAAACCTCAGCTGTCTCTTCCTGATATCAAGTATAAGCCTCCTCCTTGTTTGCAACCCCTCGAAGATCTAATCGTTGCTCACACACTCAGTCCATGATATTCTCAGTATCCTTCTGTAGAACCACATCTCTGTCGCTTCGAGTCTCTTCTTCATCTTAGTGGAAATCGTCCAACATTCGCTGCCGTAAAGAAGCACAGATGCCATGTAACAGTTCAGTATTATTTTCTTTGTTACCAATGATACCCTCCTGCCATGCAATATACTGCCCAGCTTTTTGAATGTGTCTTTGGCCATCCCAATTATACTAGAACATACCTATTCTATTGTAATAGACTCTCCCACATATAATAAGTAGTAGTACTAGCAGTCGCCAGTGGGCTCAGTGTAGTTGGTCTGGGTTTAGTCTGAAGTCGGACGACCAGCTGACCGGTTGAACTCTCTACCTTCGGGCGGGGAGGAACCCGAACGAGGCTACGCCGAAGGGCGGATTCTCTTTCGGGGAGATAAACCTACCCTGAACCTGTTTATACGGGTTCAATGGGCATATTTTTGGCCGAGCCCACGGGCTCGGAGATCCCACGTTAAACAGGCCTTGTGCCACATGACGCCCTCGTGGGGGAGTGACTGAATATCCTCAGTGGAGTTGGTGTGTCAGTCGATGTCGGACATTAAATTATCAACCACCACAACTAGATTGCTGCGTCATTAACTATTATTTCAAGTTCCTAACGTTTTGTACGTCGAACCCTTTTAGGACGGACTTAGTGAAATACAAGCCTCCACTGTGAAAACTACTCTACAACACCAATACGCCTACGTATCTCAGTGTCGCACTTACCATACCTCTGTCTGGGTATTTAAACTTCCGCGTCTGCTTGATTCTAGTGTTCCCGGCCTTCAGATCGCATTTCGGGTTCATCCTTTTACTGATGACTATGCATTCTGTCTTCTTGTAGTTTATGCTTAGTCCCTTCTTCTCACACTCTGTCGCTACCTTCTGTAGGAGATTTTGTAATTTCTTTTCTGTCTGCTATTAGTACTGTGTCATATGCGTATTTTATGTTGTTAAGATTGTGGCCGCCAAATCCTGGTAGGATTTCCAATTCTCTCAAAATTGCCTCGCTGTAGAGGTTGAACAGGTCGGGTGAGAAGACACATCCATGCCTTACGCCCCTTTCTATTTTTGTATATTCACTGAACTCGTTCCCTATGAGCATGCATGCTGTTTGCTGCCAGTATAGGTTCTTGATTAGTCTGATATCTTTCCCGGATATCTCGAGGTTGTTGAGCAGTTCCATCAGATCCTTGTGGCGTACTTTGTCAAAGGCCTTTTTCTAGTCTATAAAACATGGGTACACGTCCTTCTGCATCTGTATCACTCTTTCTGATAACATTCTGAGCATGAATATCACGCTCCTTGTTCCGGTGTCTTTAATGAACCTGCACTGTTCTTGTTCTATCTCTAGCCTGATTCTGCTGCGATCTGTTCGTCAGAATACGGATGATGAGTTTTGTCACGTGACTCATTAAGCTTATTGTCCGGTGGAGTTCGCATTCGTTTACGCCTATTTTCTTAGGCATAGCTACGAAGATAGATCTGCTGAGGTCTTCCGGTATATATCCGCTGTTGTAGATTTCATTTGTTATTTCGGTGATCTTGTCTATGTCAAAGTCATCTAAGGCTGTAAGCATTTCCGTTACAATTCCGTCTGGCCCAGCTGCCTTGTTTCTGTTCAGTTTGGCCAGTGCGGCTTTTACTTCGGTTTCCAGAATTCCAGGTCCGTCGGTAGTTCTGTGTATTGCTGGTTGTTCCCTTACGTTGTGGAAGAGTTCTCCAATGTACTCGCTCCAGCGTTGAAGTTTTTTTTTCCTTTTCTAATATGAGTGTTCCATCCTTTGATTTTTGGCAGCCTGTTGACAAGCATGTCTTTTGTCCTGTTAGTTGTCTTATTTGTTTGTAGTACTCAATCTTTCTATTTCTGCACATTTTTCATTTAGCCATTCTTCTTTAGCTTGCCTGTATTTGGTCCTTATTTCATTGTGTAATTTTCTGTATTCCATTCCGTATCTTGGCCGAGTTTTCTGTCTTCTTTTCATCGTGTCGAGAATTTCATCAGTAATCCATTCATTTCTCCTCCTCCTTCGTCCTGTCTCCTTTGGGATGATATCGTTTGCTGATGTCACCAAAGCGTCTCTTAGTGCATCCCATTTCGAGTTTCCATTGTGTGCCTTATATCTCCTTTTCACATTGTCTATGTATTTTTCTTTCAGGTTAAGATCGCTCAGGAGTTTGTTGTTTTGCAGTTTGTGTGCTGCGTTAGGCTTCTTCATTTTCTGTAGTTTCACTCTTTGCATATAAAAGGGTGATGATCGCTTCTGCAGTCGACGCTTGGGTAGGTTTTTCAGTGAGTCATTGCATTCCTGAATTTTCTGTTGTTGGTTATATAATCAATTTAGTTTTTAATTTCTCCTCCTGGGCTCCTGCATGTTCATAGTTGTCTAAGATGTTCTTGGAACTATGTGTTAGTCATTACCTGGTCACTGGCTGTGCACCATTGGATCCATTTTTCTCCGCGTTCGTTGCGGGTTCCTAGATTTTCTTATTTTTTCTTTATAAACTGATAGAATAAATCAGATTCGAATTGCAGGTCGCTGAACAATTCTTGCAATTAACTTAAATCTGATCTTTACTAACCAATGAAATGATTTTTTTTGTTTTGTTTTGTTTTTTTATTTTGTTTTGTTTGTTTTTGATGGTTGGGTTTTTTTGGGGTTTTTTTTTGGTTTTTTTTTTTGACAAGTATATCTCAGCAGGTATCTAATCACCATAATTGAACTATTGTTAATTATCAACAGTTAATAATTTTAATTAGAGGGAATTGCTTATTGAAGACGGATGTAGCACATTAATAGATGAGGTTATCTTATTTTTTTTACTTTTAAATTCATTCTTCACCACTGTAATTATCAGCACTGCATATGTGTGTTTAACTGTTTACTGTTTATGTTTACTTTAGTTTATCAATTCATTTAGTCAACTGTTCAAGCCATTGTCTTCCTCCAGGACCTAAAATGTAGTCAAACCGAAAATCACTGTCTACACTAAAAAAATAACCTTTTCGTCAATTCGTAATATTAAGGCAAAATAAGCCCCGGTTTAGTTGTAAAATCATCGATACCCACGTGATAGAATGTTAATTATGTAAATTATGTCCCTTGTTTTGTCCATCTTCCGTTAAGAAAAAGAAAGAAGATAATAAAAGTTGTTCAGCGTTTTTTATTATTTGTTGCAGAAGAAATTCTCAAATGCAGATATATTAAATAATTCAAATGAATACTTGATATTAAAATATTTTTTAATTAAAGAAAAAAATTTTCGTTTTTCTTAAAATCCTTAAAAGAATTGTTTTCTTCACGAAAACGAAGCTTTAATGTTAATATAATTAAAACGGTGAGTTTTACAAAAGCGTTCCTCGTTTATTTATCCACCAAGTCTTTCAAATGGTGGAAGAATTGATTTTTTTTTTTTTTAATTTTCTTTCAATTAAAAGATATTGAACATTCTGTGAACTCTTTCCCCGAGATGTATATTTTTTAATTCTTTATTGCTTTGAATAACTGAAAAAAATGTTTATGTTATTAGATCCGGCATTTTCTGTCGAATAACTACACCGGTTATAAACAAACAACACCATGTGCCGTGACGTCACAATCTCAACAGAGTTAGACAAGAAAATCGTTAAGACGGGTCAATGTTTTTGCTTTTACACTTTTAAAAATCTTCCATTGTGTTTTCTAAAGTCATTTTTTATGTAAAAAGGAATACCGGTTGTATTTTTATCGTTTAAAAGCCACATAATGCCTCAAACAATGCTATCTGAATCTTCACAAGAATTTGACTCCCGGCAAAAAAATGGTGCTTCTCAATCAGCCCCTAATGGAGACTTACAACAACAGTTCCTTCGAAGCAAGAAACGAGCTGATAATTATTCCAGAAAAGATAAAGAGAGGCTGATTAAGTTAGTTACTAGCAGGTTGGACGTACTGGAAAATAAGGTTTCAAACACTTGTGTCAATTTGCAAAAGGCCCAGTGTTGGGTCGAAATAGCGAACGAATATAATAAAGGTACGGCGTCAAGTGATTATTGGAGAGACGATCGTCAACTGAAAGATCTGTGGAAAAGAATGAAATTCACAGCTAGATCTGATCTGATCAGATATGCACGACAAAAAGAAAGAAAGGATTCTGCAAAAAATAATGACGATGGCGGAGGTCCTGCTTCTTCACTTGCCCACGAAATTCTTGATGATTTCACACTGATTCTCCTCCGTTTAGTTCCCGCTCATTTTCAAATGGATACCGACGGGAAGGTGCTACAGGTAATAGATGAACTATTAGCTCTGTCCCCCGCGGAAGTCGAAGAACAGAAAGTTTTGTCTCGAAACCGGCGGCAGCAGAGACGACAACAAATGACAGGGCATTATGGTAATCAGGATGATGATGACGACGACGACGATGATGATGCAGTTGTTTTGATCGAGGTAAACAACAGACTTGACAACAGTCCTGACAACGACCCTGTGGTGATTTTAGAATCTTGTCTTCCTCCTCCTCCTCCACAATGTTCCAACAACCCTAATACAACGTCGGCTACTGGTACACCTGTAACAAACAGTAATGAACGTTTAGATAATAACTCCCAAGAAACGAACTTTTACACAGAAGCAGTCGTAACCCCCCAATTGTCTACGTCAGTAGCTGGAAATATTTCACATCGGACTCAGGTGATAGATGTCCACACAGGTGTTGAAAATGGTCAGCTCCAGCGACAACACCAAACTTCACAGCCACTGCTGCCTCCCCTAACTTCGGCATCCACAACTTCATTACAACAACAACCACAAATAGAACAACAACAAATTCTTCATGAGGAACCAATATTTACTTTTAAATCTGAAGAGGACACAGTTATCAATGATGCTTCAAGACAAAATTGGTATATTGAACAGTAAGTATGTCATGTTAAGAGAAAATGTTTGTAAATCTAGAAAAGTTAATTTAATATCAAACAATAACATTGAGATAAAAGTTAATAAATCGAAGGATCATGTTTTGTTAATCAAATTTTAATTCACTGAAAAAGAAATTCCTGTAATATCTTAAATTTGTCTTTAAAAATTCTAAGTGTCTGCTTATTTATCTATATGAAACATTTTATTCAGTCCACTTAATGACACCAGGTCTTTCTGAAATCTACTACATACAAGGAATAATGTGTCTTCTGCTCTGTTGTCCTTTGACATGTTGGCTTTTGATTCCAGAATTATCCTTTCCATGTGATCTGCAAATATTGATCACTTTTTCAATGCATAATTTGTAAATATTGGATTTTGCCAGCCACAAGTGTGTTTATATTGATATTAGTTCTTGCTTCCCTATAAATAGTGAAACACAATTTTATAAATAAACAGTTTCTTGCTTTTATATTACTTTAATAATATGGATGAAGTCAAATTTTCCTTTAAAAAAATTCTGAATGCAAATTAGAGAAGAACAAATATCAGGATATACTTTCCAAGAAGTATTTACTGGTAAATATGGAAGCCTGATGAAGTACACATTAGGATCAATATGTAACCCAGATGAAGAACACATCCAGATCAATGTGGAACCCAGATGAAGTACATATCCAGATCAATGTGGAACCTGGATGAAGTACATATCCAGATCAATAAGGAGAAAAATATGGAGTTCTCCATATTTAAGCATGTAAGCAACAATCGCTATTTTCCATATTTGTAAAATATAGACTGGCTCAACAATTCCTCATTAAAAAAGGGGGAAACTAGTATAGGCTCTATATATTTTACATTATATATATATACTAGCCGAGGTGTACATGGCTGCAATTGTATAACTGTATCCCCTGTTTAGAAATGTCTGTCTGCATCCCCACTTGCATGCATCATCTGTTGGTATACTAAGCTACTCTCCCTTCTCTTCTTTTTTTATGGTATGTCCTTCACAAATGTTTGTTCTTAATAAAGGAATTTCATTGATAAAACCTTCTTATGAGGTCATTGCTCAGGATTAAATTGTTTCAATGTTTTAGATTTTTAGTAAATTTCCTATGGCCATAATAACTTTCAAATAGTATGACATTCTTCACAAATCAAAGGTTGCTCGAATGCCAATTTAGGATGGAATCATATGAAGAAACTATTGGCTAAATGTAGGTACCTCCACGAAATCGCTAAAAAAAGAGCATAGCTTGATGAAAAAGACGCCAACCTTGCCGAAAACCAAATTTTATTGTCTAAATGCTTATGTTATTATTAAGAGGAAAGACCAAAGTTTTTTTTTAATTACTTTTAAAAAAATTTTCCTTCTTTTTAGAACATTCTAAATTTTGCTAAAAAAACCTTGTTTCTATTTGTATCAGCGGAACTAGTAAATAACATAGACAATTTTTAGCACGTTTTTTTGGTATGACACACATTAATTTGAAAAATCGTGCAAAAATAGAAATAATTATCGGATGTTAATGAAACTTTCAGGAACTATTCACAGATGATCGAAATTATTATAAATATGTTTTTTTTATGAAAGTCATGGTAGAAATATTTTTTTAAATATTTACCCCCCCCTAACTAATTTTATGAAAACACTAGAAATTCGATCGCATCGGTTTTAGTGATTACAATAATTAAAAGCACAGGGCTTTGAGGAATGCAAATCATTTTTTTTTTTTGTTTTTTAATTGGATTTGCACTACCTGAAAATCAGCTCTGAATTGTAACATATAAAACTCAATAAAACAAAGATATTATTTAATTTCAAATGCTTTTAGTTGTTTTTATGAATATGGACAATATTTTCTGAAAGCAAAATTTTTTCGATGAAAAATGAATTTTTAATACAATTATTTGTTATTTCATTAATTATAATAGATTTTACATTTAAGTTGTTGAAATATTATAAAATTAGTTAAAAAGCGCATCGGCTTTCATAAGTGTCTTATGAGATAGATCTTTTTTTAGCGTTTGTAAATTGTATCATTTTGACTAATCAGAAGATCTGATAATTAATAAATGTAATTTTGTGCTTATAATCGAGCTGTAATTATAAAATACGGAAGACCAACCAGAATATAATTAAGTTGCGTTATTTGAGTTAAGCATTGTTCTCCGCTGTTAAGGCCTTTACTTTTTGCGAAACACGTGTGGAGAAGATAATTTGATTTTTCAATTTCAACTGAGAAGGGTACCTACAAGTATCAGTATCATCTTATGAAATTTATATGATCTTATTTTTTATATTAATCTCAGTTACGACACTTTTCCATAAATGAAATATCAAAATTAATAATAAAATGAATGCAAATACAAATAACAGTAGAATGTAATAAATGTACATAAAATTATAGTATTTTATGTACAATTCTGATAAAATTTCATAAGAAAGGTACCTATAAATTAATTAGATACCTTTCTTAAGAAATATGAAATTTAATGTCACTCTTAACAGTTTTATTTTAATTTCTTTACAATATATTTCCCATAAAGCATCATAAACGTAAAGGTGAAAGCTAAGTACAAAAAAAAAAAAAAAAATTAGACCGCTGAAAGTTTTTCATTAAAAATAACGGGGTAAATAATTTGTTCACGTAAATGTAAATTATTTCACTTTTCTCCTTCTGTAGAACAAATTAGCCTCATGGAATTCGTAAATATATCATTCATCACATGTCAAGAGACGCGAAAGTTTATGACCTGCTTTGTTTTATTTTCAAATTACATCTTTTTGGCACAAAAAAGCTAAGTTAAGTTTGGTTCAAAATATTTTAAATAAACATTATAATTTTTGATTTTCTTAAAATAAGTTTTGAAAAATGATAATTGATATTTAAAAAATTTCAAAGTCAGATTTCAGTTTTTTTTAAAATGGAAAAAAAATGGTCAATTTTGCTGACTCAAAAAAAACTAGATTTTTAACGAAAATTTCGGACGTGCTAGGAACGATTAAAAAATGGAAAAAAATACCCCCAAAATACTTTGACCTTTCCTCTTAATAATAACAAACATTTAGACGATAAAATTTTGTTTTCGTCAAGTTTGGCGTCATTTTCATCATGCTATGCTCTTTTTTTAGCGATCTCGTGGAGGTACCTAGCTAAATGGCAAAAGCCGATTTTAGACTTAATTTGTTGCAGATTTCTTCGACTTAAATGAAATAATCTAAACCAAACATTCACACAAGACAATTTGTGTGTCATATGTAATTTACATGACAAATTTGGAAGGCATCAGATGAAAAACCAGGAAGTTATGACTGAAAAACAGGCTTTTTGAACATTTTTTCATTATGCACAGGGGAGCAAGTAGGACTAAAACCACACTTATCTTATTTCTTGCATGATCACAAATATTTTGTGACATGTTTGAAGAAAATTAGTTATTCAATTTTTTATTTTAAGTAGTATGAAAAACCCAATTTTTTCACTGTTTTTTTTTTTTTTTTTAATTTTTTGTGTGAAGCCAATGTCACAGGAAAACTATCAAGCACTCTACATAAACCTCGTAACATGAGTTATGTTTGCATTAAGTGCAAAAAACATCAGTTCATCCAATAAAAATTTTGTTCACGTATAAGTTTGCCTTGGTTTTTGCAAAAAAGTCGTACCCACCTCCATTTTTATTGATTTTTCTGCCAAACCCGGGGGGCCTGGAAATTAAAACGCTGGTCTTGACCTACTTTTGTAAATTTGCAACATATATGTACAATTTCATTGAAATCGGTTAAGAAATGTGGACGTGCATAAATACCATATACACACACACTTCTTTTATTTTACACACACACACACACACACACACACACACACACACATATATATATATATATATATATATATATATATATATATATATAAAAATTAATTTTTATTTTTAATCCAACATTATTTCTTATTACTTTAAATGTTATATTTTAGTAGATACATGTGTTTGAGTAAATGCCTTGTTTTGTTTTTTTAATAAGGGAATTAATAGGTTGCAGTTTATTGTCACGTGGGCTAGACTGGGAGTTCACTATTTGCCCATAGCTGGGACTCTAACAGTTGCTACCACCCCGGGTCAGGGTGGACCTGGGGAACACCAGCAATTAAGAGGCGGTTCTACACTCCTCAAAACCTTCTGATCAGAGGCCTTGCTGTTGGATGCAGTTTAACGCCATACCCAGAACGTTTTGTGGATTTGAGAAAAAAAAAAAAAAAACAATCAATTTTGCTAATATTTTCGGGGTCAGTTTAATATGATTAAACAAGAAATAAATATGAAATCTTTATAAATTCAATCTGTACAGTAATTATTTGGCTTCATCAGAAATCTATTGAATTTTTTTTTTTACAATTACGTTCACTCTCTTCAAGGCACAAGTAAACATTTCAGAGTAAGAGGCACAATTTATACAGATATTTTTTTTTATAAGCGTTTCACCCCAAGCAAAGTGGGAAGCCACTAGCATGCAAGGGAGTTGGAGCTTGAGCAAATAGGAGTGATAGAGGAAAGGATGAAGAGAAGGATAGGGGATAGATCAGGGCATCTGGAGACATCGATTGACATTACATTTGAATAGTTGGAGATTATAGCTATCAGGGAAACAGGGAGTTCCACAGGCAAGAGGTGCAGGACATGAAGCTATTGGAGTAGAAGAGACGGCTACATTTAACAGTTTCAACAGTGAAAGGGTGTGAGTGAGATGCCAGCCTAGTACAATGCAAGCAGTTACCATGAAAGTATTTGTAAAAAAGACATAGGGAGGCAATGGTACATCTGCGAGAGAGCGACTGCAGACGAGATGCTAGATCAGGGCCAATTATGTTGCATATCCATCTGTGGATCTTATCAAGAACCTTGAGACAAAAATAAGGGGCACCAGACCATATATCGCAGCAATACTCCATGCAAGGGCAAATGGTTGATTTGTAGATTTAAAGGATCGACTCCGACGAGAAAAATTTCCTGGCGCGGCACAGGAAGCCAACTTTCCTTGCAGTGGATGAAGCTATTGACTCAATGTATTTGTTCCATCTCAGGTGAGCAGTCAGTGTGAGGCCAAGTAGTCACAAAGAGGAACTCTCGAGAAGTTGAGCGTCAGACATTTTAATGGAGGTCAACTTCTTGAGATAACTGTGGGGAAGATAAGTGTCAACTCTAGACTTGGATAAGCCAAGATTGGTGATCAGGAGAAGCATCCTCTTGGGAGTCAGTTCCACAAAGCAGCAGCTCCTGGGAAAATAATGCTCATGTGGAACCAATAGAATACGAAAAGAATGAGGATGGTTCGCTACAATGGGCGTGGTATGGTGGGTCTTAACTGTGAAGGTTAGAACTGATGAGACTAAGGTATATAGTTTGTCTGAACAGTTTCCATAGAAATAGCGATAGACCAGTGAGAGACTTGTGACATTTCATCTGTGAGAAAGGGGTTTATAGGATGGAAACTAATTTGTCACCCACAAGGACGTGGAAATGCTTTCGGACTCTATCCTGTCTGGAATGTAAACACTGTGCAGCCCCTGCCCATATATGGCAACAGTACTCCATTTTCTGGCTCTTCTAGGAGAACTAGAGGAGTCAGGTATTTACTGGAATGGTACCAGGAACTGACCATTTTTCCAGCATCTTTAGCGATGGATCCTATGTATGAGTTCCACTTGAGGTCTGGGCTGAGTTTAAGTCCCAATAGGCACTCAAGGCAGAGGAGGGCTTTCATGAGTGTGTATCCATTCATCACCATAGATGAAAATTCAGGTTCCACTCACTTATGATTGAACATCATAAGGATTAAGATTATAAGAAAAAATATTTTCTTGTTTAACATCTAAAATGAGCTTACTCATATTAAATGACCTACTCAGATATATTTTCTTTATTTGTTTTAATAAACTTCTTTGTTACATTTTAGGCAATTTACTTTCCTTTGGCTGCTAAATTAATAGTAAATACTTTTAAACTGTTTTGAAAGTCAAAATATTTTCATTATTACATATTTTTTAGCCAATTTTTCCTACTTTCTTGTTTTACAATATTTTTCAATGTTTCTTTGATCTTTAATGAGTTTTCTTTTTAATATCAAATTTTTATTTGTTCTCAGCTTTGTTTCATTAAACACAAAACAAAATCCACTCTTCTTTTTACAGAATGCGTAAGTTAAATTTTTTTTCTGACATTTTTTCCATCTCTGTTTATAGAATTGCATCTCGAAATCAATTTGATGATGTTGTCAACGATACCACTTCAGCTATTCCAGAAAAGGATTACCAGTATCGGCGAAAACGAAAGAACCCATTCTACCGGACTCTCCTCGAAGATGATCAGAATGAAGAGATGCGGCAACAGCTGATAGAGATGGCCCGCAAGGAGAACGAAAAAGAAATGCAACTTCTTGACATCCAGACACAATGTGAAAAACAACGACTGGTGCGAGAAAAGATGGAAACAGAAAATGCTGTGCTTAAACAACGGCTTCTGCTGCAACTGCTACAGTCACAGATAAATAAAGACCAGGGCCTTCCGTCCATCAGCCTTCTCCTCTAATTACACAGCATCATGCTATCATAATCTATCATCTATATTTTATCACCTTTTCAATCATTTTTACCACCTTGAATTCTTTTCCATATTAGTTTGTTCCTTCAACAGTCAACCCCCAGGAATCTCTGGCAAAATATTATCTTTTCTAAATTTTTTTCTCAGATATATTTTTATCAGCCTCATTTCTTCTTCATCAAATCTGGGAGCTTTTGGTTCAAAGGCAAAATCTCCTTTCCTTCTGATTTCTCATTCCACATTTCATACTGCCAAGTATGTCTGACTGTAAACTTAAATCAGTTCTGTACAATTTTTATTATTTCTAAATAAGTACTCTTTTTCTTTTTTAAAAAGAGAAAGAGCACAAGTGGTAGATTATTCCAATCTCAAACACTCAAAAGCACTTTTAATTGTGTTTTAATCTCATGGAAAATGTTAGTTTAAAACAATATCTGTGAAAAATAAATTTTATTTCTTTTTGATAAATGATGATTTTAAAAATCTATGACTTGGTTTCAGTTCATCAAAAAATGCATGTTTAAATCCTTTAAAAATGCAGGATAGTTGAGGATTCAAAATAATTTTATCTATTTTTATAATTCAGAAACAATTTCTGTGTGAGTGTGTGTTACCCTAGTAATAATTAGTTTAATGTCGATGCTTTCTATGTCAAAACAGAAAATAAACAACTTTGACTTTTTAGTATAAAAGATGTCACATGGCATTTTAATGATGTTGTAACAAGAAACAACAGATGGTGCTGAGACCAATGAGTAGAAAACCATTAAGAGCAACCAATCATTTTCTGTCTAAATAGAAACTTCATCTAAACTTGTCATAACAGGATTGGTTGAGCAATGCCAAAGTGGATCTTGGGGAGAATGCGATTTTCACTGAATAAAGGGAGATAATTCTTTAATGAAGCACAAGAAAGAATATTTCTAAAAATTATTCTTTCAATTGAAATTCTTATGAAAGGAAAACAATTTTTCCTTCATTTCACAATATTCTTATTTGATTTCTGCCTATTATCTTTTTTAAATTTTATTTATACATTATTTTATTATATTGTGTTTGATATGATTTCAGACAGTCTCCCAGTAAATGAAGTAAAAATATCAACCCATTGTCTGTATGTGAAAATTGCCTGAAATCAGTATTGAGCTTTTACTAAACAGCCAATATTTCATGTCTATTAAAATGAAGAAACAATTCTTTTGATCCTGACAGGTGATTAATTATTCTTTATATTGTTTCATATATAGACTTTATATACAATAAAAAGACTTTGGGTCTCTATAGAGATGGCAAGCCTAGGATAATAAAAATAGTAGGGTTAATGATAAGCACTGTAAAATTTAGATTTGTTTTTCAAACAATACAGACTTAAAATAAAAGTAGAATCGAATCTGATAGATGTAGATTACTTAGATGTGAACTTAAAACTACTTACAGGCAAGTATAAGTCATTCAGAAAACCTTAAAATGCACCATTGTATATAAGCACTGATTCTGACTGTTCTATGATTGTTAACTATACATTTGTATAAGCCAATAGCCATTAGATTGTCTACTAACTAAAAATGAAGATATTTCATATTAGGGAGTTTTATTCTTGTATCTCAGAAAGTCTGCTAAACAAGACAAAGTCTTTCACCCAGAGTTTATAGATATAAGTGAAGATTATTATAAGCCCATTGTCACAAATCCATGCTCTTCCACAAAAAATAAAATATCAACAAAAAAGTATAATGAATTTGACCTGACTATAGGAAGTTACAACATCACAAGCTTATTGGAGTTGGGAGGAATCTTTCTGTTAAAGAAGCTGTTGTGTTATTACAATAAACATTGACCTGAGATCCCCATAGAGATGATGGGCCTATGACAGTAAAAAGTAAGAGTGGTAGGGTTAATGGTAAACATCATAAAAATTTAGAATCATTTTTCAAGCAATACAGACTTAAAATAAAAGTAGAATCTAATCTGATAGCTATAGACTACTTAGATATGAACTTAAACAGACTAGAAGGTAAGTATAAACCATACAGAAAAACCTGGAAACATGCCACTGTATATAAATATCAATTCTGATCACTGTAGTTGTAACTAAACATTTGTATAAGTCAATAACCTGTAAATTGTCTACTAACTATAAAAAGAAAGATATCTTTGAAAGAGCTAAAAGTGTATGCAAGGAAGCCTTAAGTAAAAAAGACAAACTCAAATTTAGTAAACAGCAATAAAATGAATAAAGGTAGAAATATCATAGGGTTCAACCCGACATATAGTAGATCTGTAAAAAATAACATAGGAATATTTTTAAAACTAATTAGAAACAACTTTGCTACTTTGGAATGGTTAGGGTGTATTAGGTCATTGGGTATAAATGTTAAGTGCTTCCTTCTTTCATTTGTGTTCTAATCGTCTGAAGATCATGAGAGCGAGAAACTTGAGTAACAATTCAAGTTGTCCGTCATTGAGTGTTTGAGTTTGTGAAGCATTTTTTGCTCTGATAAGGTAGTCTAGGCATTTAGCACTTTCATTTACTGCATAGGTAGGTGTTTGCCTTTGGGTCTTCTTTTTCTTTTTTCTCTTGTCTAAGGTATTAAGTCACTTGTCAAGTTGTCTGTTGGCCACACCAGCATTGTTGGGATTTTTAGTGCGTATGTGTGTGCATATATATATATATATATATATATATATATGAAGAAATATAGTGTTACGTGTGCTATATTTATGGGATAAAGTGCTCAATATCAGAGATAGAGTGTATGTAAATATAAATATAAAAAGTGAACATTGACGTCAACACCCAGAGGTGACAGGCTGTTTCATGCTGGATGCAATCGTCAGCCTGACGATTACATCCAGCATGTAACAGCCTGTCACTGGGTGTTGACTAATGTTCACGTTTATATTTATATTTATATATATATATATATATATATATATATATATATATATATATATATATATATATATTCTTCAAGAACGGATTTAATAAAGGTTGGTGATGAATATTGATTCGTTGATGTGTGTTTAGTTGGTAAAATTTTTATCAGGACTCCCTCAAAGTATTTTCCACAAAAAGGATTGTCCTTTTTTTTTAATTAGAGTGGCATTTGTAAAATGAATGTTATGGCCAGTAATAGACAGGGTCACAGTTGACCATAAAATCCAAGTAACTAGAAGTTTTGATTTTATATTGACCTCTAGATTAACAAATTTATGGAATTTAACACTTAGGCCTGATGTTTATAAGAGAATTTTTGGCCTAGGAATTTGGTTTTAAACTGACCCGTAATAACGAAGGTCTCAACAGCCAAAACTCATTATTCTGAGCCATATATTTTTATGATCTACTCTGTTTGCTTTTATATATTTTACAAATATTATTATACTCATTTCATTTAAGATCGTACTGTTCTTCTCAAAGAAAAAGAAAAGTGCAAAGTGATATGTAAAGACCACCAGATGCGATATACCCCTGATGGAGAAGATTGAAAGGTATCTCATCAGAAAAGTTTGTGTTATAAACATCAAAAATGAACAAATCCACTAATCATAAAATAAAATAAACAAGTAAATGCCTTCACCTTAGAACTTCAGACAATACTGAGAAAACTAATGAATAAAATATATTGGCTGAAGCATTTTCATAAAAACAGCTGATGTTCAGAAACTGTAAAATAACTGAAAATATTTAATCTCAAAAAGACAGACAATTAGCAAAGACTTAGTATAAAAAACAAAATTTAAAAACCAGAAAGGAATTTATGTTCCTAAGAAGACTTAATTCTTTTTTCTTTTTGGGAAGGGGATTATTTGTGAACAATTTGAAATGGTATTGTTTTTTCTTTAATTTAGTATTTTGTATTTGCCACAATTATCAAAGCTATGAACTTGTGAGACATTCATGGATTTTTTTTTTCAACTTCATTTTCCAAAATAAAAGACAAAACACAACCAAACTGATTTTATAAACTTGACAACATTATTATAATTTTAAATCTGATTAATGTCTTTCTCATTGTTCAGTTACTTATTTAGATAACTATCCTCATCCTTGTTGTGTTGATCATGTTTTCAGCCTCTACATTCTCCAACCTTTCTCAGGTGTATGTAATTCTTGAAAGTTTTTTTTTTTTTTGTTTCTTTAAATTCAGTTGGACTAGTTCAGAGATGTGAGTGTCAGAGGTCCATTCTGACTTGAGAAATGAGGCATGAATCCAAAGAATCTAAGGAAGGCTGAAGAATACATCAGCCAAAATTTTATGAAAATAACAAGAATTAGGATACTCATCTGAAAAATTCCTCATCTCCTCACTCACCTCCATCTGACTCCAAGGACAACCTCACTTGCCTAAAAGCTCCCCACCTGATCCTAGGAAATCTGGTGAGAGAATATATAGACTATATGAAGAAAAGAAGAATTTTAATGTTCTTCAAATATCTCCAGTCTTAATTCAAACCAAATGCCATCTACCATGGTTTATAGAAAATCAATTTTTGTTTTTGTCTGAGATGTGTGTACAGTCAAAGCATTGTTTAGAATAATTATTATTTACTTTAATTGGGTCATAAATGTGACAATTTACCTCTTTCTAAGATTTTGTTTTTCTGAAATTTCATTTCATGAAAAGTATTTTCTCATCTCTTATCTCAGATTTTATATTTGAATCACTTTTCATGAAAAGAGTGGAATCTTCTTGAAAACCAAATTAAACAAAATGTTTGTAATTTATCAAATACACCAATTCCATCTTTTAACATCTTGTAATTATTATTTGTTAAGCTTTCTAAACCCTCAGAGTCCAGTGCCTAAAATTAATTTGAGGGAAAAGAATACAAAACTAAGCCGTATTGAATCTTCGTCAAAATCTTCATTAAAAAAGGCAAATTTGATTTATTATTTTGCAGCTGAGATTAATCATTGACCCAGCATAAAACCCAACAAAATGTTTTATATTTTCTATCTGTGTTTCAGTTGTTCCCTCAATATG